TTTCTGGTTATCTAAGTAGCTTCAGAATTCAAGAAAAATTGGGGGGGGGGGAGGAGCTGGAAGATGTCATTTGTAGCAGCTGCCAATTGCCGAAATAGGATTGTGATGGAAGGTGATTGTTGGAAAAAGCTATGTAAGTCCATCCTTGTTAAAGGAATGGAACTGTTTCATTTAAACGTAATTTCTGTTACTAGATTTGTGTAAATCTCAATCATGAACATCTCTAAGTAATTATTTTCAAGTTCCATGTGAAGGTTAAAATATTCTTTCTTTCTGATCAGTTTTTACAATTTTTTGCAACTTTGATTCAAATAAATGAACTTGAATCAAAGAACGTGTGAAAGGTATAACTGAACAAGTGCTATTGAATTGCAGAATGGGATATGGTACACAGAACTGACTATTCTGGGGAACCCTACTTCATCATTCATGTGTGTAGTCCTCTTAGGTGCAAAGATATGTATTTTAATCAATAAAGTATTTGTAACAATTGGCCACAATTACCTACAAATTTCAATTAAAATAACAAGTACACATGTATATGTGCAGTCATGCAATGTCAAATTCAGTCAACATGAACAAAGAAGCAAAATGAATTAATAGCAGTGAATTAGGCAAAAACAAATTGCAATAATTTTGTATAATTTATACCACAAAAATCAGAATTTCCTTGTAACATGGGGTGGGGAAGTGAATAGAAATAATATATTGCAGTTGTTGATCTTCTGACAAAAGTATGCAACTTTTCTTTGAGATTTGTTGCCAAGAACTGGAAAACAGTAACAACCAATGAAGCTCAACTTCTTTCAAAGGGATCTAAGATAGGGCCATGTAGCTTAACATTATTTTTTAGTAAAATGTAGGTAATATTACTAACACAAAAATAATCAAAAGTATAGAAGAATCAGCTTTGCTGAAAAGGAACAAACATGGCATTTGCTTTTTGAATGTCGACAAGTGTGTTGACAAGGATGAGTCAACAGACATTATAAACTTTCAAAAAGCCTTTGACAAAATCTCTCACCACTGGTTTCTGAGCACACTCAGCAGTCACGGAATAAAAGGGCAGGTGTTCTCATAGACTGGTAACTGGCTAAAGAACGGGAAGTAAAGGGTAGGAACAAATGGGCCATTTTCAGAATGAAGAGATGTCCCAAGAGACTGGAATTATGACCACTTTTTAAAATTTGCTATATAGGAGTAAATCATGAGGTAGACAAATTTACTGATGTCAGACTATAGAAAACTCAAAAGGGACAATTTCCAAGATCTTTGCAAACTGAGTGAACGGGCCTCAAAGTGGCACATACAGTTGAGTATAAGCAAGTACGAAGTGATCACATTAAAAATTCAGACTTTCCATATACAGTGATGGGATCTAACCTGGCAGTTATTGACCAAGAAAGGGAATTTGGAGTCATGGTGGCCAGCTCAATGAAAATGTAAATACAGGGTGTAGTTGCTACAAAAAGAAAAAAAGACAAGTTCCATGATTCAGATCATTAGGATACAGACTGAAATGGACCTACCAAAACAGTAATATTGTCGATGGTGAGACTGCAGTTGTACTGATGTATTGGGCACATCCACACTTCTCCTTAACAACCACTCAAAGTTTTCTCACTAACCTCACTAACCTCAAAGGACATGACCTCATGATATAGCCTTCCTATTATCCCCAGCCCACAGCTAAAGCCCTCTAGTTTCAGATTTATCTGGTCCTCCAATCTTAATGGTTCCTTCTCTCTTCTGTGGCAGCAACCATTGTGATAACAAGGCTCATTGCTCCATGGGCCTGTTGTTATGTTTTCATGTTCATTGCCTTAAAACCTTAAAAGGTTGCTCACTAGAAGTCCATCTGAGCAACAACTCTGGGCACTGTATTCTGTAATTATAGTACCACTAGAAAGAAAGTCCTGTTCCTAGGGTTACCAAATATCCAAACAGGTAAAGGTAGACATGGACGATTGGAAAGGAGGACAAATGGGGGGGAAAGGAGCATACACTAACTCAGTGTTTCTCAACCATGGCAGCTTGAAGATGTGTGGACTTCAACTCCCAGAATTCCCCAGCCAGCATGCCAGTTGCCAAGGTTGAGAAACACCGCACTAACTGTTCAACTTTCTTGGCATCTGCAACAAAAATTATAGCGAAAAACTGTCAAAAACGTATTTGGGCCTACATGTATATGAAATTACTTTTTCCAGCATCAGAAAGACTGGTTTTTCAATTTCAATATTTTTCCAACAAATCTTTATTTTCAAGAACAAATGCTATGATAATATAGCATCGACAATGACATGCTTTTCAATTTCACCACAGAAACATATGATGAGTCATGTGATCTATAGATTTCAAGGGGCTGGATTGAAGCCGATGGCTGGAATCAGGAGATAAATTAAATAACCTAAATCTAGGCTGTTGAGTCTGCCTACTGACGAGGGAAAGATAGAAGCAGACAATTTAAAAGGTCACAACAGACAAAAGTTTGAATAACTATTGTTATACAAACAGTCCCCTCCCCTCCCCTCCCCTCCCCCAAACCCCAAGGTACTCATTTTAAAACTATGCTTGCTGGACAGAAGACATGAGAACAAAAAGGAGGACACGTCCTCTTTTTGCCGGATGTCAGGTAACCCTACCTGTTCCAGACATCACATCAGCAAGACTCCCTAAAACTCTGCATAGAGTTGTCAATTGTTTTGTTCTTTAAATCAAAAATTCTGAAGTAACCACTTCTATGCAGAGGCATTGAACCTTAAGCTAAGGTTGAAACTGTTTATTGCCTTCCTTCACCTTCTCCTAAGTCTTAAATAGGGAGGAAAACAGCAGCTCTT